TCCCATGCAATTTACTGCCTCTGAAAACCGGCCGGAGGGTCAGCTAGAGGTTGGTTCTGACTCGATGGCACATGGCAACAACAACGATCTAGGACTCCGCACGGCCTCGGTCCTCTTGAAGGCCCGCACCTGCGCAGTGGTGAACATTTTGTTGCAACCTCATTGGCCCTTGTCGACTAGGTCGATTCTGGCATGTTCTGATTGGCTCCGCCAGTGGCTGCCTGGCTTCATCCCCTCGTTCGTCTCTGGGTCCCCTTGGACCCTCTGTTATGCATCTGTCATGTCCTCCATCATGGGTCCCCTGTGATCTTTTATGGACTCTGGCTGAGATAAACATAAACTTAAGCTGGCTGCCATTCTCATTTCACTTGCCGTGACGTCATTTCTTACCACAGTTATTGATTCCAAAGTCCAGCCTTCTGTCTGTCTTCTTCCAGTTAGTCCCTCCACCACGTCAGTTTCTCCTGTCCATGTGCTTCTTCCTGTGGCTTAAAAAAAAAAAATTCTTCTGTTTTGTGTTTTGTTGCTGTTGTTAAGCGTGTCCAGTGTCACTATGCATTCTGTGCCCAGATCATGGCTGTGTGTCCTAGGGGATGGCGCACCGCCCTTGCCTCTCCACGCAGGTACCATCCAGCAGTTCACTTATTACCTTGAACTCTAATTCACTTGGCTCATTGCTCAAAACAGGAAGCAAATAAAGGTGGGGAACTTGAGCTCTGAGCAGCTTCCTGTACCGGGGAGACGAGCCCCGAAGGACTTTGGATTGTTCTAAAGACCTCGCCCACCTGGATCAGCTGCTGCTGCTGCTGCTGTGCTCATTCTCAAGGAAAAAACAACTTTCCTGCAGCGAAGAACTGGGAACAAGGGCAAAAGGGGCGAGCACTCTTCAGATCAAAGTAAGTAGGCTTCATTCTAGGGTTCCCACCAGTAATTAAGGAGCTTCCCTCCCCCTCCCCCATATTAAGCAGTGGGCTTCCAACTGAGAGGTCACTGGTTAAAAGCCACCAGCCTCCTCTGCAGGAGAAAGAAGGGGTCTCTTTTGCTCCCACAGAGAATTCCCGGTCTCCTAAACCTCACAGGGCAGGTCTATGTTGTTCCTCACGGTTGCTGGGAGTCGGAATCAACTTGATTACAATGAATTTGTCTGAGTGCCTATTGACAATTACTGCCTCTCCAGATTGTCCAGTTATCATGTCCAGCTACTAGCTAGCTCGAGAGTGGAGGCCACAAAGGGGACCCCCTCGACTTCCTAAGTCAGCTTTTGATAACCCTGTGGGTACAGTCCTTCCCTGAGACACGCACTCCCCACCCCCTGTGTTTCAGAACTGACTCACCTACAACCAAGTTTGTTTGATACGAAACTAAGGGGTCCTGATATGGTTCCTTCTGCCAAATTAGACCACAGTGAATCAGGATGTGGGCACAGGACACAGGAGGGTTTGACTGTACTAGATTTTTAGGGGTCTGGACATACAAGCCAACTCATGGCTTTAGAAAAGAAAAGCATTTTAAAATAAAATCACCTTTTAAGTACCAACCAAATTACACGCATAGTGTAGAAAGCTGAGAGGTATTCACCAGCGAATACAAACATATTGTGTTGTCAACGGGGTATCCCTTGAATGGATGGTCACCATTTCCCTAGTGTGAATATGACTGGGTCCCCGTGAGATTTCATGTCCCGTCACTGGTGGCCTGGGAGTAAAGAGTTGTGCTGTCAACCCAAAGGCAACCATTTTGAATTCCCCACTTGCTCCAAAGGAGAAGGATGGCAGTCTCTTCCCAGAATGGTCTCTAAAGACCCAATGCAGAATCAGCGACAAGTCAGTTCCAACTTGAGAGCACATAGCAACATCTACTGCCCACAGGTTCTTTTTCTAGAAATTGAGGGCCTTGAGCTCAGTGTTCTCAATGGGTTTACCAGTTCTGTAACTTCATCCCTCGCTAGGAATCCTAATCTCTGGAAAAGGCACAGCCCTTGTCTCCTGGTAGCACTCCACCACTCTGAGGACTTAGTTTTCTCATCTGTGTAAATGGGTGGATGTGAGGAGTTAAGGGGCTGTATTTATAAAGTACTGACTTCCCAGTACCTCTTATTTACCTTGTAATAGATAGCTAAAATAATTTCTAAAAAGAAAGGAGAAACCCTGCTTTGGAGTTGTTGGGGTTTTTTTGGTTATTGTTGTTGTTGGGTACCATCTAGTCGGAACCAACCCATAGTTGACCCTCCAGAAGGTTTTCAGAGGCAGTTAATCACACAGGAGGAGACTGACTATTTCTCTCACACAGAGCAGTTGGTGGATTCGAACTGTGTACCTTCAAGGTTGCAGTGCAGCTTCTTGCCACTAGGCCACCAGAGTGGTGCAAATGTTAAGCATTAACATATTACTATTAACATATTACTACTAACTTGGAACTCTGGCAGCCTGTTGTTGTTGTGTACCGTTGGGTCAGAGCCGACCTATAGCTGACCCTCCAGCGGGTTTTCAGAGGCAGGAAAGTGCACAAGAGGAGACTGCCCATCTTTCTTCCACCGAGCAGCCAGTGGATTCAAACTGTGTGACCTTGGGTTTGCAGTGCAGTTTCTTACCACTAGGCTATCAGTGCTAAGGAATCGCACAGCCAACACAAAGCTGTGTGGTTCGCATCCCCCAGCTCCAGGGCAGGAGAATGATGAGAGGTCTCCTCCCGTGTTATTTACTGCCTCTGAAAACCCACTGGAGGGTCAGCACGATGCCACATGAAAAATGGGATGTACTCCTTAAAGGTCGCAGGCTGAGGCACCCTGCGGGGTACAGCTGTGCTCTGACCAGCGAGGCCTCCAGCGGTCAGCGCCTCCTCTACAGCACGACCTGGACTTCCCCACAGTTGTCACCGACCACCCGACCACGGTCGTGACAAGAAACTCGAGGGGTTTCTTGGTGAAGAGCAGGTGAGGGACGAAGTCGGCGAAAATGAGAGTCTGCACACCAGGATGATGTA